AAAAAAAAAAAAAATGGAAAAAGGACTTGAATAGACATTTTTCCAATGAAGAAATATAAATGGCCAATAAGCACATGAAAAGATTCTCTGCTCAACATCACTAATTACTACAGAAATGCAAATCAAAACCCATAATGAGATACCACTTCATACCCATTAGGATGGCTACTGATGTGAAGAAAAAAATGAAACAAATAAAAAATAGAACTCAAAATAGAGAAATAACAGGTGTTGGTGAGGATGTGAAGTCAGAACTCTGTGCACTGCTGTTGGGAATGTAAATAGTTCATCTCCAAAGGAAAACAGTATGGCTGTCCCTCAAAAAGCTAAAGGTAGAATCACCACATGATCCAGACATTCCACTTCTGGGTATTTACCCAAAAGAAGTGAAGACAGGAACTCAAACAGATATTTGTACCTTCATGTTGATAGCAGCCCAAGTGTGTATCAATGGATAACAAAGTGTTGTATATGCATACAATGAATACTATTCATTCACAAAAAGGAATAAAATTCTGACACATGCTCCAACATGGATCAACCTGCAAGACATTATGCTTAGTGAAATAAGCCAGTCACAGAAGGACAAATACTGTGTGAATCTACTTACACGAGGTACCTGCCGCAGTCAAATTCATGGGATCAAAGTAGAATGGTGGCTGCCAGGTGCCGCGGGAGGCGAGCATGGAGAATTGTTTAATGGGTACAGAGTTTCTGTTTTGCAAGATGGAGAGAGTTTTGGAGATTAAATACCCAGAAATGTGAATGTACTTAACACTACTATGCTGAACACTTAAAAATGGTTAAATCGGCAAACTTTGTTACCTGTATTTTACCACAGTTAAAAATCATCCTGAAGAACATTTGGGAGATTAAAATAAAATAAAATCTTGCCATCGAAGGTAAGAGATGGGAGGTCTGGGGGGCGAAGGGGGTTGCCGCCCGGACTCCAGGGAGGCGGTCAGCAGCCCGCGTGGAAGGATGGCTGCACAATGCGCGTGGAATGACGGTGCCAGAAGGGCTGCACTAGCACGTCCCAGAGAACGGACTTTGGCCTGGAGGATACCTGATGCAGATGGACAGTGGGGGAGGGCAACGGGGAACGCCAGGCGCTAAAAACTCGGAGAGGTGGGGCCGTGTCGTCCCAATCCCCGCACCCGAAACGCCCAGACCTTGCGTGCGCAGGAACAGTGACCAGGGAGGAGCCGAGCCTTGACAGTCCCGGCGGGGCGGAGCCGTGGGCTGGGCGGGTGCCGGGTCGGCCTGCGTGCACCACCGAGACGCGGGCTCCTAGAGGGGGCGGAAGTGGCTTCCGGCGGCGGAAAAACAACTTCCGCTCGGGAAGTTTGTAAAAGTCCGAGCGGCCGGAGTGGCGGCGTGGGCACAGGACCTGGCTGAGGGCGCACCGCTGGTGAGTGTGCTGGGTCCGCCGCACCGACCGTCGCCGCGAGTACCTGGTGGTCGGGGTTCCTGGCTGACGCCTCCAGCTCTGCGGCCACCCTGTGCGTGAGGGCTGAGGGGACGCAGCGTAGCGGCAGCTTCGCGTCGCCCTGGAGGTCGCGAGTGCCCCTGACTAACTCAGGTAGTTCCTCGGTCTCTTTCCAGCTCACGTTCCCCTCCTTGGCCCTCACTTCTCCAGGTTTGTCAGGGCCAGGATCCATCTCCTCTTCGAACTGGACTCTCCCCATTACCCCGTCCGTGATCATGGTCTCAGCAGTCCATAGGCAACTTCCAAATCTGTCTCCTGCTCCAGTGAGATCCGGACACTTATGTCCAGCTGCCTACTAAATATCAAAAACAGCCAAAGGCTCGTCCTGCCCCAGGGTGAGCTCCTATAGTCTCCACACCCTCACCCACTGGTCCGCCACGAAGGGGAGAAGGCTGAGACGTCTCCGTCCTCCTTGCCCATGCTTAAGCACACGGTCAGTCCCGGGTGTGTTAACTCCTCGCCATTCCCAGCCTCCGTGTCCCTATACCAGTCGCCTTCCGCTCTTACCTGGACTGTCTCTTAATGGTGGTCTCACTCTCTTCTCTTCACTCCCATCCTGTCTTGCCGTTTTCTGATTTGTTCACCACAGAGGGATCTTTTAAAAATGTAGCTTATCACGGTATTCTGTATTAAACTCTCACTGCATTTCACATGAAACCATAGCTCAGGATGCCGTGGGTAATGTGGTCCTTGCTTACTTCCTGCCATATCTCGAACAGTTCCCTCCCTTACTCTCTGCAGGTTCCTGAGTCCAGCCCATTTTGTAGCACAAACAGTGGATGCTCAAATGGGGGAGCTGTTCTTATATTTACCACTGTGGTAATTATTACTTGCTAGAGGAGCTCAGAGTTTCTGATTCACAAACTCTACGCGTAACCCATGAGCTCAATGTGCCTTTTCATGTGGTTATAGACTAGTGTATAACTTTTGTTGAAGTGTCTGTTCAAATATTTTGCCAATTTAAAGTTTATTTTTCTTTTATTATTGATTTGTAGAAGTTATCATTCTGGATGTGAGTTCTTTGTCAAATACATGTATTGGGAATATTTTCTCTCAATCTGTGGCTTGCCTTTTCATTTTCTTAACTGTTTTTCAATAAGCAGAAATTTTTATATTTGGTAAAGTCCAATTTATATATATTTTTCTTTTAAGATTAATGCTTTTGAGGATCCATGGGAGGAATCTTTGCCTACCCCAATGTTACAAAGAGATTGTCTAATTTTTTTCCTTCTAGAAGCTTTTAGTTTCAGATTTTACATTTAGTTCCATGATCCATCTTGAATTATTTTGGGGTGTGGTGTGAGGTAGGGGGTGTCAAGGTTAATTTTTCCCTTATTGTTCCTGCACCATTAATTGAAAAAAAATTTTTTTAAACCTTTGATGCCTTTGTCATAAAATACTTAACTGTATGTGTGGGTCTATTCCTGGACTCTATTCTGTCCCCTTATAATCAGGTAATGTAAGTCTTCTAACTTTGTTCAAGATTGATTGTTCGAAGTCTTTTGCATTTTCATATAAATTTTATAATCAACCTGTTAATTTTTAGGAAAAGCCTGCTGGGATTTTTGCTTGGAGTTGTGTTGAATCTATAGATCAGTTTAGGGAGAACCGAAAACTTAATATCCATAAACATGGGATATTTCTCAATTTATTTTCATCTTCAGTTTTGCTCAGCAGTGTTTTGCAACTGAGAGTAGAGGAGTTACATATCTTTAAATGTATTTGTAAGTATTTGATTTTTTGTTACTGTAAATGTTAAGTGTCCCAGTGGTGGATATTGGTGGTTTACAGAGCAGACCCTGCATGTGTGTCTGTGCATGTTGCCGGCTTTTCCTGAGTTCCCCTTAGTTCACTGAGCAGGCGGGGACTCTTGGGTCAGGTGGGGGTTCCCAGGCTGGTGGCCCCCATTCGTACTTCTCTGGCTCCCCAGATCGGCTGTTCCTGGCGCCCTGCATCTCCTCAGAGGGGCCGGCTCCTGCTGTTCCATGGACGAGTCCCAGGTGAGCCTATTGGCTGCCGCTGCTGAGTTTGGCCTCTCCTCTGTCCTGCAGGCTGTCATGGTCCCAGCCCACATGTGGGGAGGGGTCTGCAGCATTGTGCCTGTGCCCACCTTTTTGCTAGTTCTCTTTTATAGGGTGGGGAAAAAGAAAAGAAAATTTGATTTATTTACATTAAGAGTAGTAGATGTTATAGAAAACTAGGAAAATGTACTTGATTCTCTTAGGTGCTGTCTTGGGCCACTACAGCTGTCATGATGAAATCTCACAGGCAGGGGTGGTTTAAAAGACAGACGTTTATTTTCTCTGTTCTGAAGGCTGAAGTCCAAGATCAAGGTGCTGACAGATACAGTTTCTGATGAAGGCCCACTTCCTGGATTGTAGACAGTGGCTATCATGCGGTGTCCTCACACGTGTGTGGAGAGAGGGCCAGGGAGCTCTCCATTGTCTCATAAGGACACCAGTCTTATTGGATCAGGGCCCCCCATGACCTCATCTAACCTTAATTACTCCTTAGAGGCCCTATCCCCAAACGCAGCCACACAGGGCATCAACATGTGCATGTGGGGACACAAACATTCCGTCCATAACGGGTCTTCCCTGTGCTCTAGCTGTGGGCTTCTTGAAGTTCTTCCCCGTCAGAGACCATCTGCCTCCCTCCCCACTTCCTGCTCAGACGCAGGGTTGTAGCCTTCTCTCTCTGTCTCTCAGCACGGCCTGTTCTGGAGCTGTTTGTGTTGCAGGAGCGAGTGACCTTCGAGGACGTGGCTGTATACTTTTCGAGGGAGGAGTGGGAGTATCTGGACTCTGGCCAGAGGGCCCTCTACCGGGACGTGATGCTGGACAACTTCAGGATCTTCGCCACGCTGGGTAAGGGCCACACTGTCGCCTCTGGAGCCTGTCTGGTCCAGGTTGGTGTTGGGGGCTGAGGAGCTGGAAGTTACTGGCTTGGGTGTACAGAGGGCCCGGCCCACACCCAGTCTGATCAGGGTTATTTCTCAGGCTCCCCTGGAGGCAGCCTCATCTTCCTTCCTCAGACCCCACCAGGGCCTTCTGCCGGCCTTGGCGCCCCAGTGGGGATGGCGTCCACACTCCCTTCCCCCTTACCATCATTGCTGCTTTGGGGCAGCTTCTCCAGGGGATCCCTGTGGGCTGGCCTGGCCTCTCTGGGTTTGTCTTCTGCTCATCCAGAGCCAGTGTGAGCCCTGGACCTTTACTTGTCCTCTCTACAAATGAAACAGCACCTTTTCTCTTTTTTGAGAAGGATTTTGCAGCCCCAGACCAGACCTCGTCTCTTGCCTACAACAGTGGGATGAGCCATGGGTTGAAGATTGGGAGAGACTCGAGTCTCAGAAAGTACGGAGGGGTCCCTACCCAGGTGAGCACCACGATGGCTGGCTGGGCTGGCCCCTCTGTTCCCATGGCTCCTGGGGTGTGCACTCACCACACAGCACCAGCTAAGGGACACAAAATGGTTTTTTTTGTTTTTTTTTGTTTTTTTTTGTTTTTATTTGAGACAGAGTCTCACTCTGTTGCCTAGGCTGGAGTGCTGTGGCATCATCCTAGCTCACAGCAACCTCAAACTCTTGGGCTCAAGCGATCCTTCTGCCTCAGCCTCCCGAGTAGCTGGGACTACAGGCATGTGCCACCATGCCCGGCTACTTTTTTTTCTATATATTTTTAGTTGTCCAGCTAATTTCTTTCTATTTTTAGTAGAGACAGGGTCTCGCTCTTGCTCAGGCTGGTCTTGAACTCCTGACCGCGAGCGATCCTCCTGCCTTGGCCTCCCAGAGTGCTAGGATTACAGGCGTGAGCCACCACACCTGGCCACAAAATGTTTTCTAATGATAGAGACTTTAGCAACACACAGTGGCCACCATGCTGCTACACCAGTGGACATGACCGTGTGCCAGGGGCTGTATGGTCTGGGGCAGGAGGAACAGTGCGCAGCTTGGGTGGAGCCTGAGGCGGTAGGGTGACACTGAAGGCTGTACCCCGCCCTGGTGCTGTCCTGTGGAGATCCTGAGTGTGGTGTCTGCAGCCTAACTGATGGCCACACGAGGTCACAGATGAGGTTACAAGCCCGACACACCTACTGAATGTGAGGGATGAGGGTCTCTGGCTGTGTGGCCTTGGGTGGGGACTTTGCTACTGGCACCTCTGTGCTCATTTGTGAAACTGGGACAGTAGCAGTGCTTCCTCTGTTAAATGAGGTGCTGGTCTCAGGGTTTGTTTTCTACTTTGGATTCTTTCAGAGGCAAAGTTAAGCAGCTGCATGAACAAGCTGGGGGCCTCCAGCTGGGGAGGGTATCAGGTCCCTGGTTGGAGGGAAGCTTATGGCTCAGAGAGTGCATGGCTCAGATGGCTCAGATTTGTGGCAAGCTCCCATGGCTTCCATGTGGCCACCTGGGCAGCCTATCCACCTACATGAACAGGACTTTGTGACACAGACAGACGCAGGTTTGTCCTAGGTGGTGTCTTGTTTCTGTAGGTAGGTTCACATGTGCATGCGCTATCGGGCCATTTAAACCAATTCACAGTACCCCATTGTGTCAGAAATACCTGACCACTACCTAGTGTGGGTGAGCATTGAGTTCATTTTACATTTTCCACTGTTTTTAGCTCATCTGTGTGCAGCTTTGAACACATTTTCTTTATCACTAATGTGCAGTGTTTTTGGAGTGAACTCCCTGAGTAAATTGAAATAAGTAGCTTCACATTTAGTAGCTTTTCTTTCTTTTTATTTTATTTTGTTTTAGAGACAAGGTCTTGCTCTGTCACCCAGGCTGCATCAGTGATGCGATCATAGCTCATTGTAAACTTGAACTACTGGGCTCAAGCGATCCTTCTGCCTCAGCCTCCCAAGTAGGTGGGATTACAGGCATGCACCACCGTGCCCAGCTAATTTTTCTTATTTTTTGTAGAGACAAGGTCTTGCTATATTGCCCAGGCTGGTCTTGAACACCTGGCCTGAAGTGATCCTCCCACCTTAGCCTCCCAAAGTTCTAGGTTTACAGATGTGAGCTTTCATGCCCGGCCCAGTAGCTTTTCTTTATGCTTTGCTGGATTGCCGCTGTGTGGCCTGGCCTGTCCATAGGGCCACCAGCTCTGTGTAAGTATGTCCATTTTCCTCCCTAGGGGCAGAGAAATCCATTAATCACAGGAGATGCCGTGATCGGCCAACTTGGGCTCACAAGAAAATCCACATTCAAGAAAGAGCCAAGGAAGGAATTGGTTTTAGGAAGAGCTGTCTGAACTCAGGTAATGTGCAGCTTCCTGGAAGTGCTTCAGAAAGGAAAGATGGTAGGCCTGCAGCTTTCCAGTGCAAGGTGCGTGGGAAGTGCCATGGGCATCGGCCAGGCCTCGGAAAGCCCCAGAAGCGCCATGCCTCTGAGCTCTCATTCATTTGTGGCACGTGTGGGAAGGTGCTGAGCTGCCACAGCCGGCTGGTTGCTCACCAGACGGTGCACACGGGGACCAAGTCCTTCGAGTGTTCCGAGTGTGGCCAGACCTTCAGGTGGGTTTCAAACCTTCTGCGCCACCAGAGAAACCACACGAGCGAGAAGCCCTTCCGCTGCGAGGTATGTGGACAGGCCTTCAGCTTGAAAGATCGTCTTGCTCAGCATCGCAAAGTCCACACTGAGCACAGGCCCTACTCGTGCGGTGACTGTGGGAAAGCCTTCAAGCAGAAGTCAAACCTCCTTAGACACCAGCTGGTGCACACTGGGGAGAGGCCTTTCTACTGTGCTGACTGCGGCAAGGCCTTCCGCACCAAGGAGAACCTCAGCCACCACCAGAGGGTTCACAGTGGGGAGAAGCCCTACACCTGCGCCGAGTGTGGCAAGGCCTTCCGGTGGCCCAAGGGCTTCAGCATCCACCAGAGGCTACACCTGACAAGGAGGTTCTACGAGTGTGACCGCTGTGGAAAAGGCTTCCGCCACCTGGGCTTCTTCACTCGGCATCAGAGAACTCACAGGCACGGGGAGGTGTAGAGGTAGAGGTGCCAGGTGTGCAGGTTCTGTACCACTCTGGTATTGGTTCTTGTTGAGGGGAGCTGCTGTAAGCAGTCATGCTTTATCTAGTTTGGAAATTCAACCTGGAAAGAAGCCACCTCAGTGCTCAGAGCTCCCCAGATCCCCCAGGAAGTTCTACAGGAAAATTCCCACATGGGAGAAGTGGATCCACAAGTACACAGGGGTGACAGTGGCAGCTGCTCCCATGGTGCTCAGCACCCTGGAGTGGCACCAAGAGCGTGTGCAGCCACAGAGCTCACCCCAGTCCCTGCTCAGATCAGAGAAGCACCTGTCTTGTTTTTACTCTCCCGCTGGCCCACAGCGGTCTGGGCTCAGGCACTCAGCCCCAGCAATGAGTGTCACTCGTGTGTCCTTTAACTCCTTTTCCTCCCAGCTCTTCGCCCCATGTGCGCTGCCCAGCCTATCTTCTCCTCTGTGTCTGTCTGCAAGGCAGCTGTGAGTGTCGCACAGAAGCAAGGCCCCTCCTGCAGCCTCACGAGGTGGGGCTCAGAAGTGAGCAGCTTTGTAATATCAAGCGCTTATTACCGCATTAAGGGAAGCTCTTAATTCACAGCCACAGCTGTGATTAGTGAACTCTGCTTGTGCGGCAGCATCCAGTCTGGTGGCTGCGTATGCATGTGTGTTGAAACCACATCGTCACAGCACTGCTTCTCTGGAGTGGCCTCTCTAGCTGAAACAGACTCTTGCCTAGTGGATCTTTGGTAAAACAGGATTGCATCTTGCTTTTTATTAATATTCATAAATGAGTGCAGGAAGGCTTTGCTCCCAGTATCATGTGACCACAGAGGAGCCTACATGGGTTCTGGGCAGCCCTGTCACCTCAGATCTGACCCCTTGCACCCAGAGCTGGGCTGAGCTGAGCTGGGGAGCCGAGACTGCCCACACTGCCGTCAGACCCTGTGCCTGGCCAGGGGGTGCGTGAGTGAGGGGTGGGGCAGAGGCCAGATTAGGCTTGTGAGAACTGGACACTTCTCACCAGACCTGGAACCATCGAGATGGCTCCCAGCCAGGGACTGCTTGGCACAGCCCTGGGTCCCCCTGCTTTCCGGGTCTTTCTTATAGTAGGTAAGATCCTTGCTGCAGCTACTACATGTGTGGGCTTTGTGATTGCCACAGCAGCTGCAAGTGCCCTGTGCTGGGTGGTTAGGTCAGGGCCACCATTGCCGCAGAAGCCTCCGCCCAGCTCTGGCAGTCAGAGCCTTGGTCACACTTCCAGGATTGGTGAATCAAGAAACTCTGGGCAGTGAGAGGTGGCTGTGTTCACCACAGGGTGTTCATGGAAGAGATGACCTCTTTGTTTTAAACTTCAGATGTCCCCGCTTATCTGGCCAGAAATAAAAATCTATCAGGTGGAGGTCACGGGGGCAGCAGCTCCTTACCCTAGAACTGGTGGGGGCTGAGCCTTTGCTTTGCTTTTGTTATCCAAAGAGTTGGTGAAGGATTTTGCTTTACTTGTTTTTATTTTTTTTTGAGACAGAGTCTCACTCTCTTGCCTGGGGTGAGTGCCGTGGCGTCAGCCTAGCTCACAGCAACCTCAAACTCCTGGGCTCAAGCAATCCTACTGTCTCAGCCTCCCGAGTAGCTGGGACCATAGGCACGCGCCACCGTGCCCGGCTAATTTTTTCTACATATATTTTTAGCTGTCCAATTAATTTCTTTACATTTTTTGGTAGAGACGGGGTCTCGCTCTTGGTCAGGCTGGTCTCGAACTCCTGAGCTCAGAACGATTCGCCCGCCTCGACCCCCCAGAGTGCTAGGATTACAGGCGTGAGCCACCGTGCCCAGCCTTTACTTGTTTTTTTAAGAATTCCAGCCAACAAATGAAATGTTGCAATAAGAAATGGGTTTATAGGCCAGGTGTGGTGACTCACACCTGCAATCCTAGCACTCTGGAGGGCTAAGGCAGGAGAATCACTTGAGGTCAGGAGTTCTATACCAGCCTGAGCAAGAGCAAGACCCCGTCTCTACAAAAAATAGAAAAATTAGCTGGGAATGGTGGCGTGCACCTATAGTCCCAGCTATGGGAGGCTGAGGCGGGAGGATCACTTGAGCCCATGAGTTTGAGGTTGCAGTGAGCTGACACCATTGCACTCTAGCTGGGGTGACAGAGCAAGACTCTGTCTCAAAAAAAAAAAAACAAAAAAAAACACAAATGAGTTTACAAGAAATAGGGGAAGAAGAGGAGGGTCTGCCCACCGAGCCAGGTCTGATGGGGAGATAGATGCTGCCAGACAAATGACCTTCCCCAGTCAGTCAGGTGTGAAGAAAAGTTGAGGGGCTGTGTGCAGCCCTGATCTGAGCTGCCCAGCTTTGAGAGGCACTTTTGAGATAGTCGTGAAATTTGAACATGGACTGCGACTAGGCCATAGTGAAGGATTTGTCGTGATGACAACACAGTGGTTATGTTCAACAGAGTCTTGATTAAGTTGCATTCTGACATATTTATGGGGAAATGGCTTGGGGCCTGGGATTTGCTTTAAAATTCCAATAAAAGGGGGAAAGAAAACAATATTGGCAAAATGTTTATGGTTGTTGAAGCTACAAGGTGGGTATGTTTGAACCTTTCCATATAGGATATTTGTAAATTTATTAATGCACACTGAAGATTGTTCAGACCAGCTGCTGAGTAATGAAGGTACAAGGCTGTGTCAGTCTGCACAGGCCGCCATAACAAAGCACCACGGACTGGGTGGCATAAACAACAGAAATTTATTTTCTCAGTTTTGGAGCCTGGAAGTCCAAGATCAAGGTCCCAGGGTGGTCTCTTTGTGATGAGGGTGCGCTTCCTGGTTGATAGAGGGTGTCCCGGTGGGGAGAGAGCAAGCTCTGGTGTCCCTTTTCCTTGTAAGGGCACCAATCCCATTATGAGAGCTCCACCCTCATTCATCCAAACCTAATCCCCTCCCACCAGTACCGTAACATTGGGTCTCCGGCTTCAACATGTGAATTTTAAGCGGACACAATTCGGTCCATAGCGGATGCTTCTCTGGGTCAGTCCTGGCCCACGGACCCCACTGGGGAAAGATGTTTGCTCTTGCAGGTCTGCAGCCTGCCCCGGCCAGTGAGGCCACCAGGGCCCCAGGATAAGTGGATGTCTACCCAGGGGAACATGTGAGTAGCTTCTTTTTTACTTACAGAGTCCAAACCTTTGTAAAAATGCGTGTGTTTTTCTTCCATCTCAGGTTGTCAGGCAGGTGTCTGGTTTATTCCCTGCCTGGTGGGTGGAGTCGGGAAGGCCTTCAGGTGGTTTGAGTGCAGGTGAGAATGGCCTGTCATGGGATGGTGCACCTTGTATCTTTGGGTAGCAGGTGCTGCGGATAACAAAAGTTTTGAGTGTCCTGTAGGAAGCAACTGGCCGTGTGCCTGTGGCCACCTATTCCTGGTTTTTAATCCTTGCCAAGGCTTTCACTTCATGATGCAGTTGTGTGGAATTACATTGGAACAATGCAGAATTTGTTAAGAAGCTGTTATACATTCCATTTGATGATCTGAGCAGGCCACCTTGGTGGCAGTTCCATCCTGTTCACAAGCACTGGGTGGAGGTCACGGCAGGAGTGCCGCCTGCAGTCATACCTGTCAGCAGCCTCTGCTAGAGTAGGTGCACCGTTCCTTGGCGTTTCTTTTGGGGAGTGATAACGAGGCAGCTGGTTGAGAAACATGGTGATACTCGACTGGTTGGTGCTTTTACATATTTTTCCTTCTAATATTTATACATCCCTTCCTGCTTCACTTGAGAAAATGAGGGAATTCTGCCTTTAAACAGCCCCAGTAGAGAATGGGGTAATGACGTGATGTACATACACCATTGGGTGATGGCACGATCTGCCTCTCAGCTCTTTCGCCTTGCTTGCCATGGCACCCGCTTCCTGGGGTGGGCTGACAGGGGACTCCCAGCAGGTGTCCTGTAAGAAGTGCTTTCCCCCTCAAGGCGTTTATCTGCATTTAGCTTCGGCACAGTATGCATGAGGCCACTTGGCAGCCAGAATGGGCGTTCCAGTGGGGCCAACAGGTGACTGAGCTCCTATCCCCAGGGGACACCCACTTGTCTACCATTGTGTACATGCTCAGCACATGTACCCAGTCAGAAGTCCACCAAGTGGGAAGGTGGCAGATGTAGCTGAGAGTCCCAGGGTGGGAGGGCCACATGGCGGCCACTGGCAGTCCTGACCAAGAGACAGAGGAGAACATTCCACCAACAGCTCTCTTTATACTCCAGAGCCAGGGCCAAATGGATCTGATCTTCTCCTTTTGGGACATACAACGCCAGGTAAATAAAGATATTTGGGAATCATTCTAGATACAATGCATCATGTATCTGTATCCAACTGTATCCAAACTTTGTTCTGGGTATTCATGGAGTCTCTTATACACGTCAGTCTTAGAGGTTCTCAAAACCACAGGTGAACCCTTAAAATGAAGACTGCATGTAGAGGTGTTGACCCTGAGCCGGGCAAGGGCAAGTCCAGCCCTAATAGTTCACTTTGTAATATTTGTATCTGTGACCTCTTGGTAGCTAAATCATGGGCCCACTGAATGAAACACTTTGGGGAATATGAAATATGTAGGTTTTGAACAATAGTATAAAGAAAAGCTGATTCCCCAATGTGAGCCTAATGTTGGAACCATATTGGATTTTAAAGCTTCAGGAAGGCTGGGTATGGTGGCTCACACTGATAACCCCACACTTTGGGAAGCCAAGGCAGAAGGATTGCTAGAGGCAAAGAGTTTGAGACCAGCCTGGGCAATATCAAGACCCTGTCTATACAAAAAAAAAATTAGCCAGACATGGTGGTGCCTGTAGTCCCAGCTACTCGGGAGGCAGGAGGATCACTTGAGCCTAGGAGTTTGAGGTTGCAGTGTGCTATGACGACGTTATTGCACTCGAGCCTGGGATATAAGCAAGACCCTGTCTCTAAAAAATAAATAAATAAAAATAAAACTTCAGGAAGAATCCTCTTCACCTAGGCCAACCACCGTATTCAAAATGTGAGGGTTGGCTGTGGAAGCCTCGAGTCCACACAAGTGTAACTCGGTGCTGACAGGAGCCCAGGGCTGCCTGTGCACCTGGGTACCCAGAGTTAACCCACTCTCCACACCCCGACCCACGTGCACACTGCTTAGGAAATGTGACATCCTGCATCAATTTGCAGTTCAAGGTCATGATTCAGGAATACTACATTGTCTCACACGATCCATGCAAACGTTAAACAGGCCTCAGGAAAACTAAGTCTGTGACTTGCAGATCCCACTGCCATGGCTGGAGGGCTATCCTCACCACAGGGGACAGTGCCCAGCCCCATCTCCCACTCCCTGTCTCAAAGATGCCCAATCCAGTGATCCCACCTACAACTGCAGTGTCTCAGCTGGAGGCAACAGACACCATGTCCACAAATTGCATCTAGTGACCACTGTGGGCCTGTTTCAGGAAAATCCTGGGACAGTGTAGAAAAACCGCTCTCCAAACTGACACAGTGTCAAGAGACCAAAAACAACTCAGACGAAATCCAGCTTGGCTAGTTACATGAATTTACTAGAGGTTCCCGACACAGGGATCTCATTCCTAGTCATGTTGGGACTCCTGCAGGCACTCACTCCTGGGAGAGTGAGACCCACACCACATAGCTGTTTGCGGAGCCTTAAATTTCTCTCTGGCAAGTGCTGCAGAGCAGCCCTCTCTGCATCATTGCATATTTACATTCACCACAGGTTCAGCACGCACGGTACTTCCCATTAGGTGGGGACTTTAGTATTACAGTTAACTAAAGGGAACTAAGGCAGCTTAAAACAGTTTAAATTGCCCTGAAGACTTACGTCTATTTATGCAAAGGAGCTACTTAAGAATATCCTTTGTGCTTTGTA